GGGCAACTGGAAGTCAAATATATTGTTCACCAACAGACAAAAAGTTGGTGCTGTAAGTTGGGGAGTTTGTAGTGTGAGGAACTGGTTACTAAGTCAAATATATCGTTCACCAACAGACAATAAGTTGGTGCTGTAAGTTGGGGAGTTTGTAGTGTGGGGCAACTGGTTACTAAGTCAAACATATCGTTCACCAACAGACAATAACTTGGTGTTGTAAGTTGGGGAGTTTGTAGTGTGGGGCAACTGGTTACTAAGTCAAATATATCGTTCACCAACAGACAATAAGTTGGTGCTGTAAGTTGGGGAGTTTGTAGTGTGGGGCAACTGGTTACTAAGTCACATATATCATTCATCAACAGACATTAAGTTGGTGCTGTAAGTTGGGGAGTTTGTAGTGTGGGGCAACTGGTTACTATTTATATATCGTTCACCAACAGACAATAAGTTGGTGCTGTAAGTTGGGGAGTTTGTAGTGTGGGGCAACTGGTTACTAAGTCACATATATCATTCAACAACAGACAATAAGTTGGTGCTGTAAGTTGGGGAGTTTGTAGTGCAGGGCAACTGGTTACTAAGTCACATATATCGTTCAACAACAGACAATAAGTTGGTGCTGTAAGTTGGGGAGTTTGTAGTGTGGGGCAAATGGTTACTCAGTCACATATATCGTTCATCAACAGACAATAAGTTGGTGCTGTAAGTTGGGGAGTTTGTAGTGCAGGGCAACTGGTTACTAAGTCACATATATCGTTCAACAACAGACAATAAGTTGGTGCTGTAAGTTGGGGAGTTTGTAGTGTGGGGCAAATGGTTACTAAGTCACATATATCGTTCAACAACAGACAATAAGTTGGTGCTGTAAGTTGGGGAGTTTGTAGTGTGGGGCAACTGGTTACTCAGTCACATATATCGTTCACCAACAGACAATAAGTTGGTGCTGTAAGTTGGGGAGTTTGCAGTGTGGGGCAACTGGTTCCTAAGTCACATATATCGTTCACCAACAGACAATAAGTTGGTGCTGTAAGTTGGGGAGTTTGTAGTGTGGGGCAACTGGTTACTATTTATATATCGTTCATCAACAGACAATAAGTTGGTGCTGTAAGTTGGGGAGTTTGTAGTGTGGGGCAACTGGCTGCTAAGTCACATATATTGTTCACCAACAGACAATAAGTTGGTGCTGTAAGTTGGGGAGTTTATAGTGTGGGGCAACTTGTTACTCAGTCACATATATCGTTCAACAACAGACAATAAGTTGGTGCTGTAAGTTGGGGAGTTTGTAGTGTGGGGCCACTGGTTACTAAGTCACATATATCGTTCGCCAACAGACATTAAGTTGGGGAGTTTGTAGTGCAGGGCAACTGGTTACTAAGTCAAATATATTGTTCATCAACAGACAATAAGTTGGTGCTGTAAGTTGGGGAATTTGTAGTGTGGGGCAACTGGTTACTAAGTCACATATATCGTTCACCAACAGACAATAACTTGGTGCTGTAAGTTGGGGAGTTTGTAGTGTGGGGCAACTGGTTACTAAGTCACATATATCATTCACCAACAGACAATAAGTTGGTGCTGTAAGTTGGGGAGTTTGTAGTGTGGGGCAACTGGTTACTAAGTCACATATATCGTTCACCAACAGACAATAAGTTGGTGCTGTAAGTTGGGGAGTTTGTAGTGTGGGGCAACTGGTTACTAAGTCAAATATATCGTTCAACAACAGACAATAAGTTGGGGAGTTTGTAGTGTGGGGCAACTGGTTACTAAGTCACATATATCGTTCACCAACAGACAATAAGTTGGTGCTGTAAGTTGGGGAGTTTGTAGTGTGGGGCAACTGGTTACTAAGTCAAATATATCGTTCAACAACAGACAATAAGTTGGGGAGTTTGTAGTGCAGGGCAACTGGTTACTAAGTCACATATATCGTTCACCAACAGACAATAAGTTGGGGAGTTTGTAGTGCAGGGCAACTGGCTGCTAAGTCACATATATTGTTCATCAACAGACAATAAGTTGGTGCTGTAAGTTGGGGAGTTTGTAGTGTGGGGCAACTGGTTACTAAGTCACATATATCGTTCACCAACAGACAATAAGTAGGTGCTGTAAGTTGGGGAGTTTGTAGTGTGGGGCAACTGGTTACTAAGTCACATATATCGTTCACCAACAGACAATAAGTTGGTGCTGTAAGTTGGGGAGTTTGTAGTGTGGGGCAACTGGTTACTAAGTCAAATATATCGTTCAACAACAGACAATAAGTTGGGGAGTTTGTAGTGTGTGGCAACTGGTTACTAAGTCACATATATCGTTTTCCAACAGACAATAAGTTGGTGCTGTAAGTTGGGGAGTTTGTAGTGTGGGGCAACTGGTTACTAAGTCAAATATATCGTTCAACAACAGACAATAAGTTGGGAGTTTGTAGTGCAGGGCAACTGGTTACTAAGTCACATATATCGCTCACCAACAGACAATAAGTTGGGGAGTTTGTAGTGCAGGGCAACTGGCTGCTAAGTCACATATATTGTTCATCAACAGACAATAAGTTGGTGCTGTAAGTTGGGGAGTTTGTAGTGTGGGGCAACTGGTTACTAAGTCACATATATTGTTCACCAACAGACAATAAGTAGGTGCTGTAAGTTGGGGAGTTTGTAGTGTGGGGCAACTGGTTACTAAGTCAAATATATCGTTCATCAACAGACAATAAGTAGGTGCTGTAAGTTGGGGAGTTTGTAGTGTGGGGCAACTGGTTACTAAGTCAAATATATCGTTCAACAACAGACAATAAGTAGGTGCTGTAAGTTGGGGAGTTTGTAGTGTGGGGCAACTGGTAACTAAGTCACATATATTGTTCACCAACAGACAATAAGTAGGTGCTGTAAGTTGGGGAGTTTGTAGTGTGGGGCAACTGGTTACTAAGTCACATATATCGTTCACCAACAGACAATACGTAGGTGCTGTAAGTTGGGGAGTTTGTCATGTGGGGCATCTGCCACTGTACAACACTGAAACCTGACCCTCCAGGGATTAACTACCTACTCACCCCACACAGTCCTAACACTGCACAATATCACAAGTAACACAAAGTTTGCAACTCACCTTCTAGTTAAATCTTAAGTCACAGAAAACGGCAGAAAAGAAATCCAGGCCTTGTTTACAAGTGAGGCAGTGTAGACAATGTTCCACATGGAATGACAACCAGCTGTCTAGTGCTGCTGCCGCTAACCCCCTGCTTCACTCCCTACCAGCACCACTAATTAATTATTCCCTTCCTCTGAAGGGAGAGTGAGAATCCGAGCTATGTTCCCAAAATAGAGGGGTAATCATCCCTGCTGCTGTATCTGAGAGTGAGGCTGCTGGCTGCCAACACACGCTCTCATACTTAATATGGCCAAAGCTAAATGAGGGGAAGGGAGGTGGGTTTGTTGGTGGGTTTCTCCACTGGGACAGGAAGTTGTGTCTGATGGGGGACAGAGTGGGGTTTGTGTGAAGCTTGGTTCTCATGGAGGACATGGGTGTTGTGTTGACCTGGGTCACAAAGCTTGTCACATTCCTTGGCAGGAGGTCAAACTGGAAGCCAAGGGAGATAACTGTGGTAGCTGGGAGTGACCATGTGTTCCTGTGTGGTCAAGCATTGTTTCCTGATGCCACAAGGATTGTTGTTGTGGAGATACAGGACTTCAGTCACAGCTGAGGCCATTGGCTCTTTGTTTCATACAAATCTTAATGAATTGCTAGACATCTTCTCACATGTCAAAATTTTAATGTTGGAAACTTGATATTTCAATAGAAGTTATAAACAATATGCATAACTGATAAAGCATAGGCAGATAAAATAAATATAAAATTGTTTTGAATGGCAAATATTCTTGTTTCAGTAAAAAGGCATGTTGAACTACAGCCTTCTATTGGTAGCATGTACAGGGCAATGTTTGATGGTAAAGTGGGGGGCTTGAACAGTCTCACAGTGGGGAGGGGGAGCATCTGTTGTTTGATGGTGTGAGTAATTGCAGGAAGCATGTGCTGCAGTCATCATGACATCACGGCCTGGCATCACCGCTAGCTGTTTCATGTGTATGTGCGTAGTTGGGAAGACTTAGCCATTAGACAGTACAGGAAGCGGTCTGCTGTGGGTGGGTGTAGTTGGGAAGACTTAGCCATTAGACAGTACAGGAAGCGGTCTGCTGTGGGTGGGTGTAGTTGGGAAGACTTAGCCATTAGACAGTACAGGAAGCGGTCTGCTGTGGGTGGGTGTAGTTTTCTCACACTCATGAAGATATGTAACAATACACATTTATAACAGATCTTACCTAGGTGGGGGTCATAAGGGGGGTACCCAGATGGGATTACCCCTCATACCAACTACTAACCACCACCCCCAACCACCCCCCCTCCCATGTTGCATGTCCAGTAAAACCTGCCCAGCAGTGACCTATGAGTGGTGGGTGCATATTTTAGAAAGCCTTGGGACTCTTCTGATAACTTAAAAATGGCTTGTTTCCAAAGTGCTGAGAGTGTTGGCTGTCCTGAGAACATGTGTTGTGAATGAAACATGGTTGTACTGCAGCAGTAAGAAAAACAGTTTGAGGTCTTGTCCCGAACCCAATCACATGCAACAACACCTTGTCCTTCAATAGCAGAGCCGCAATAACTCGATGTTCCACCGTGACTTGCATATGTAAATATCCAATAATAAAAAAAGAGATAATTAAAAAAAATGCAACTGGCATGGCATGCTTACACACTGCATCTATAGTCAGTCCGACAAACACTCAGATCATCACACAACTACCATCCTCATCACAAGTCTCAGATCAATGGAAGATATATACCACACACCTTCTGCTTCCATCCTAGTCACAAGTCTCAGATCAATGGAAGATATATACCACACACCTTCTACTTCCATCCTAGTCACAAGTCTCAGATCAGTGGAAGATATATACCACACACCTTCTGCTTCCATCCTAGTCACAAGTCTCAGATCAGTGGAAGATATATATACCACACACCTTCTACTTCCATCCTAGTCACAAGTCTCAGATCAGTGGAAGATATATACCACACACCTTCTGCTTCCATCCTAGTCACAAGTCTCAGATCAGTGGAAGATATATACCACACACCTTCTGCTTCCATCCTAGTCACAAGTCTCAGATCAGTGGAAGATATATACCACACACCTTCTGCTTCCATCCTAGTCACAAGTCTCAGATCAGTGGAAGATATATACTACACACCTTCATCCTAGTCACCAGATCAGTGGAAGATATCCATCCTAGTCACAAGTCTCAGATCAGTGGAAGAAGATATACCACACACCTTCTGCTTCCATCCTAGTCACAAGTCTCAGATCAGTGGAAGATATATATCACACACCTAGTCTACTTCCATCCTAGTATATACCACACACCTTCTACTTCCATCCTAGTCACAAGTCTCAGATCAGTGGAAGATATATACCACACACCTTCTGCTTCCATCCTAGTCACAAGTCTCAGATCAGTGGAAGATATATACCACACACCTTCTGCTTCCATCCTAGTCACAAGTCTCAGATCAGTGGAAGATATATACCACACACCTTCTGCTTCCATCCTAGTCACAAGTCTCAGATCAGTGGAAGATATATACCACACACCTTCTACTTCCATCCTAGTCACAAGTCTCAGATCAGTGGAAGATATATACCACACACCTTCTACTTCCATCCTAGTTCTCATGCTGTTGATCACTGTATTGTCTGGTCCAGACTCGATTATTTACAGACCACCGCCATATAGCTGGAATATTGCTGAGCGGGGTGTAAAACTAAACTCACTCATTCACTCCATCCTAGTCACAAGATTCAGATCAGTGGAAGAAATATAAAATCTTACATACATGAAGGGCAGAAGTGTATTACTAGAGAGTTATCTCCCCTTCCTCAGAATCACAGTAACAGAAGACCAAAAGCTAACTCAAGTGCCACACACAGAAAATGTCTCGTCCTGAGGTCTGTGGTGACCTGTCAACAGGTTTATAGCTCACAGGTCTACAGGTCAATAGCATGTGGTCTACAGGTCAGTAGTATGTGGTCTACAGGTCAGTAGCATGTGGTCTACAGGTCAGTAGTGTGTGGTCTACAGGTCAGTAGTATGAGGTCTACAGGTCAGTAGTGTGTGGTCTACAGATCAGTAGTGTGCAGTCTACAGGTCAGTAGTGTGTGGTCTACAGGTCAGTAGTGTGAGGTCTACAGGTGAGTAGTGTGTGGTTTACAGGTCAGTAGTGTGTGGTCTACAGGTCAGTAGTGTGTGGTCTACAGGTCAGTAGTGTGTGGTCTACAGGTCAGTAGTGTGTGGTCTACAGGTCAGTAGTGTGTGGTTTACAGGTCAGTAGTGTCTGGTCTACAGGTCAGTAGTGTGTGGTCTACAGGTGAGTAGTGTGTGGTCTACAGGTCAGTAGTGTGTGGTCTACAGGTCAGTAGTGTGTGGTCTACAGATCAGTAGTGTCTGGTCTACAGGTCAGTAGTGTGTGGTCTACAGGTCAGTAGCGTGTGGTCTACAGACCAGTAGTGTGTGGTCTACAGGTCAGTAGTGTGTGGTGTACAGGTCAGTAGTGTGTGGACAGGTCAGTAGTAGTGTGGTCTACAGGTCAGTAGTGTGTGTGGTCTACAGGTCAGTAGTGTGTGGTCTACAGGTCAGTAGTGTGTGGTCTACAGGTCAGTAGTGTGTGGTCTACAGGTCAGTAGTGTTTTACAGGTCAGTAGTGTGTGGTGTACAGGTCAGTAGTGTGTGGTGTACAGGTCAGTAGTGTGTGGTGTACAGGTCAGTAGTGTGTGGTGTACAGGTCAGTAGTGTGTGGTGTACAGGTCAGTAGCTTGTGGTCTACAGGTCAGTAGTGTGAGGTCTACAGGTCAGTAGTATCAGGTCTACAGGTCATGAGGTCTACAGGTCAGTAGTATCAGGTCTACAGGTCAGTAGAATGTAGTCTACAGGTCAGTAGTATCAGGTCTACAGGTCAGTAGAATGTAGCCTACAGGTCAGTAGAATGTGGCCTACAGGTCAGTAGAATGTAGCCTACAGGTCAGTAGCATGGTGCCAGCTTGACACCCTCTGTTTTACATACCAATATACAATCTATTGGAAGGAAGATACTCTGTTGGACACCTATCTGTTTGTTGTAGTGGTAAAGAATTAATCAAATTAATATGAATTTTCAAGTTAAAGAATAACTCTATCTGGGAATAATGTGAATTCTAGTAGGCCACACATCATTGCAGCCATCATTCTTATATATCAGTCATTCCTGGCAGCTTGTTTCTGAGGTAGTTCAGCTTCCTTTCTTCCACAGAACCCATTTGTGTAGGACTCTAAATACTCCTCATTCTATTGAGCACTGCAGTCTGCAAGATACGACAACTTTACCCCTACATAATATGAACCAGACCTACCTTTCTTTCCTTTATTGCCGGGTTTCATCTTCTTCTGCTCATGTGGCTGTGCTGTAACCACGGCCACGGGTCGTGTAGGTTCCAGCTCTGGTTCCGGTTCCATGTCTAATGGTGGAGGGGGAGGTAACTCTTCCACAGGCATTTCCTTAGTTGTGTCATCACGACCTGCACCATGGATTCGGATAATGATAATGACTCACAATGGTGATGTACATGCCACGATGCTTCATTACCTAGTCAGCAGAGTTCAGCTGAACCAACTCTGGCATAGATCACTAGAATATGTGACAGTACTAGAATATACATACCGGTACTACATCACTACAGTTTACAGAAGAATTGTTCCACTTATAATTCATGAAGAATATGGTACAATTAAAGAGAATAAAATATTATCAACATCAACTTAATTGCCTTTTTGTGAAACATGTTTTTAAACCCACGGTTTTAACTTGAATGAAATTTTAAAAGTCCATGGTTTTGTGTTGTCTTTAATCCTAGTTGTCCTTCAAGAGCACCCCACAGGAGTTATTTCCCCTTACAGAAGCGTGGGGAAACCTCATAATGTTTCCTCGGGTACCTGGGACCTGGATGGGTTAGCCTCATGGGTAGTATTCATCTGTTGATGTAGAGTGTGAGATCAATAAAACTCTGTCATCTTGGACCTGAAATCTTCATAACGTCCCTCTGGAGGATAAACTAGGCGTTGACTGGTGTCAAATCTCTCCTACATATTTCTCCTTCTTCTCTTACTTGTCTGAGGATGTATGAGGAACCCACCATTCCCCAAGAAATCTGGCAGATATTGAAAGTCATCTACACTGGCATCCACGTCATCATTTGGGAAAAGGAAATCGTCCATAAAACTGTGAATTCTTACTTGCTGTAGATGTAAATACAGGGGTTGGAGCTGTCATAATCATGAATAGCCACAGAGTGACTGGTAGTCTGAACAGCAGAAGCTGGAACTGGTAGAGCCTTCCAGTGACAGAAAATCGTAGCTATCTCTGAGAGTCCGGAACATGTAGACATCATTTCTGCTAGTCTGTGGAGATCATAGTGTCCAATATAGAGATGATCTGTCTGAGGTTCCATATGAACTCAGGTACCAATAGTTGAGGATCTTCCGAAGGTCTGTTGAATCCTTGTTGGGACGAGAAATCCTGGTTGATGAGCACCTTCCTGTCCTAGAGCTTGTCCACCACCACCCCCACCACCCAGTCGGTGGAACATCCAAGAGCTCGTCTATGGCTGGCATCGTCACACCCCCAGTCGGTGGAACATCCTAACTTCCTCTGATTTAAGCACTTCCCACTGAAGGGCTTATCAGCCAGGGGTTTAGAATACAACATGTTCCTCGTCTCTGATGGATGAACGTAACTGATGCTGATCCCTCCTCAACAATGTAAACTGCAGGATTCGCTAGAAGGGACTTGGAATCAAACACCGCCTTCGCCATGCTGCCTAATAGCCATGCATCACCTGTAGAGTATCTTAACAGGTGATGGATCATCCCAGTTTCAATAGTAACTTGTAGTCTGAATTCCCAAGAAAATACAATAGACCTTGAATATTGGGAATAAGCCTTACTCTCTCATCAAAATTCCTGATTCTCCCTTAGATTTTCAGGTATTTTAACAACGAAACCTTGAAATCCTTGATCAAGGAAAGGGGATTTGACTAGTTATTATCTCTTATCAGACACAACACAAGTCCTACACTAACAGTACAACACAAGTCATGTACTGACAGTACAATACAAGTCCTGTACTGACAGTCCAACACAAATCCTATACTGACAGTACAACACAAGTCCTATACTGACAGTACAACACTCATCCTGTCCTGACAGTCCAACACAAGTCCTGTACTGACAGTACAACACAAGTCCTATACTGACAGTACAACACAAGTCCTACACTAACAGTACAACACAAGTCATGTACTGACAGTACAACACAAGTCCTATACTGACAGTACAACACAAGTCCTGTACTGACAGTCCAACACAAGTCCCTATACTGACAGTACAACACAAGTCCCTATACTGACAGTACAAGTCACAAGTCCTATACTGACAGTACAACACAAGTCCTATACTGACAGTGACAAGGCGATTTAACACTTCCCACTGAAGGGCTTATCAGCCAGGGGTTTAGAATACAACATGTTCCTCCTCTCTGATGGATGAACGTAAGTCTGATGCTGACAGTCAACACAATGTAAACTGCAGTCCAACACTAGAAGGGACTTGAAGTCAACACAAGTCCTGTACTGCCATGCTGCAACACAAGCCATGCATCACCTGAGAGTATCTTAACAAGTGATGGACTGACAGTTTCAATAGTAACTTGTGTAATTCCCAAGTAAAATACAATAGACCTTGAATATTGGGAATAAGCCTTACACAAGTCCTGTACTGACAGTCAACATTCTGATTCTCCCTTAGTACAACACAAGTCCTGTACTGACAGTACAACACAAGTCCTATACTGAAATCCTATACTGACCAACACAAGACCTGTACTGACAGTACAATTAAGTATCATATACTGACAGTACAACACAAGTCTCCTGTACTGACAGTACAACACAAGTCCTATACTGACAGTCCTATACTGACACACAAGTCCTATACTGACAGTACAACACTCATCCTGTACTGACAGTCCAACACAAGTCCTGTACTGACAGTACAACACAAGTCCTATACTGACAGTACAACACAAGTCCTATACTGACAGTACAACACAAGTCCTGTACTGACAGTCCAACACAAGTCCTATACTGACAGTACAACACAAGTCCTATACTGACAGTACAACACAAGCCCTATACTGATTTAAGCACTTCCCACTGAAGGGCTTATCAGCCAGGGGTTTAGAATACAACATGTTCCTCGTCTCTGATGGATGAACGTAACTGATGCTGATCCCTCCTCAACAATGTAAACTGCAGGATTCGCTAGAAGGGACTTGGAATCAAACACCGCCTTCGCCATGCTGCCTAATAGCCATGCATCACCTGTAGAGTATCTTAACAGGTGATGGATCATCCCAGTTTCAATAGTAACTTGTAGTCTGAATTCCCAAGAAAATACAATAGACCTTGAATATTGGGAATAAGCCTTACTCTCTCATCAAAATTCCTGATTCTCCCTTAGATTTTCAGGTATTTTAACAACGAAACCTTGAAATCCTTGATCAAGGAAAGGGGATTTGACTAGTTATTATCTCTTATCAGACACAACACAAGTCCTACACTAACAGTACAACACAAGTCCTGTACTGACAGTACAACACAAGTCCTGTATACTGACAGTCCAACACAAGTCCTGTACTGACAGTACAACACAAGTCCTATACTGACAGTACAACACAAGTCCTGTACTGACAGTACAACACAAGTCCTGTACTGACAGTACAACACAAGTCCTGTACTGACAGTCCAACACAAGTCCTACACTAACAGTACAACACAAGTCATGTACTGACAGTACAATACAAGTCCTGTACTGACAGTCCTGTAACACAAGTCAAGTCCTGACAGTACAACACAAGTCCTGTACTGACAGTACAACACAAGTCCTATACTGACAGTCCAACACAAGTCCTGTACTGACAGTACAACACAAGTCCTATACTGACAGTACAACACAAGCCCTATACTGACAGTACAACACAAGTCCTGTACTGACAGTACAACACAAGTCCTGTACTGACAGTACAACACAAGTCCTATACTGACAGTACAACACAAGTCCTGTACTGACAGTCCAACACAAGTCCTGTACTGACAGTACAACAGTACAACACAAGTCCATATACTGACAGTACAACACAAGTCCTGTACTGACAGTCCAACACAAGTCCTGTACAACACAGTTGTACTGACAGTACAACACAAGTCCTATACTGACAGTACAACACAAGTCCTGTACTGACAGTCCAACACAAGTCCTATACTGACAGTCCAACACAAGACCTGTACTGACAGTACAACACAAGTCATATACTGACAGTACAACACAAGCCCTATACTGACAGTACAACACAAGTCCTGTACTGACAGTCCAACACAAGTCCTGTACTGACAGTACAACACTCATCCTGTACTGACAGTACAACACAAGTCCTATACTGACAGTACAACACAAGTCCTATACTGACAGTACAACACAAGTCCTATACTGACAGTACAACACAAGCCCTATACTGACAGTCCAACACAAGTCCTGTACTGACAGTCCAACATAAGTCCTATACTGACAGTACAACACAAGTCCTGTACTGACTGTCCAACACAAGTCCTATACTGACAGTACAACACAAGTCCTGTACTGACAGTACAACACAAGTCCTATACTAACAGTACAACACAAGTCCTATACTGACAGTACAACACAAGTCCTGTACTGACAGTACAACACAAGTCCTGTACTGACAGTACAACACAAGTCCTATACTGACAGTACAACACAAGTCCTGTACTGACAGTCCAACACAAGTCCTATACTGACAGTACAACACAAGTCCTATACTGACAGTACAACACAAGTCCTGTACTGACAGTCCAACACAAGTCCTATACTGACAGTACAACACAAGTCCTGTACTGACAGTACAACACAAGTCCTATACTGACAGTACAACACAAGTCCTATACTGACAGTACAACACAAGTCCTATACTGACAGAACAACACAAGTCCTGTACTGACAGTACAACACAAGTCCTATACTGACAGTACAACTTGATACCAATCGATGTCTTTTTCATTACGCAAGTGATTTTTTAAAATATATTCCGTATGCATTTGTTTTAAACTTTTTGCGTATCTAACATTTTAAATGCGTAATTGGTATGCAACGATTATTTTTCGATGCGTAATTAGAAATTTTCTATTGGTATTTTACCCAGATATGCAGCTTATCTGGGCTTCTGCCTAGTAGGCAGAGTCACAAGGCAGACACATGTAAACTCACAAGGCAGACACATGTAAACTCACAAGGCAGACACATGTAAACTCACCAGGCAGACACATGTAAACTCACAAGGCAGGCACATGTAAACTCACCATCCTTGTAGATGTCCACAGCATTGGGAGTGGGGCGGAGGCGGAAGTTGAGCGGGGAGGAACCACCACTGTTGTCCATCACTGGTTGCATTGGTGGAACAGGGGCAGCTGCTGCAACAGGAACAATACCAATCTATATGTCATCTTAGTACCACAGGGCAGTGATTAACACCTGAGTGTGGAACAGGGGCAGTTGCTGCAACAGGAACAATACCAATCTATATGTCATCTTAGTACCACAGGGCAGTGATTAACACCTGAGTGTGGAACAGGGGCAGCTGCTGCAACAGGAACAATACCAATCTATATGTCATCTTAGTACCACAGGGCAGTGATTAACACCTGAGTGTGGAACAGGGGCAGTTGCTGCAACAGGAACAATACCAATCTATATGTCGTCTTAGTACCACAGGGCAATGATTAACACCTGAGTGTGGAACAGATACAGAGTAGTGATTAACACCTGAGTGTGAAACAGATACAGGGTACTGATTAACACCTGAGTGTGGAACAGATACAGGGTAGTGATTAACACCTGAGTGTGGAACAGATACAGGGTAGTGATTAACACCTGAGTGTGGAACAGATACAGGGCAGATTACAGGGCAGTGATTAACACCTGAGTGTGGAACAGATACAGGGCAGTGATTAACACCTGAGTGTGGAACAGATACAGGGCAGTGATTAACACCTGAGTGTGGAACAGAAACAGGGCAGTGATTAACACCTGAGTGTGGAACAGATACAGGGTAGTGATTAACACCTGAGTGTGGAACAGATACAGGGCAGTGATTAACACCTGAGTGTGGAACAGATACAGGGTAGTGATTAACACCTGAGTGTGGAACAGATACAGGGTAGGGATTAACACCTGAGTGTGGAACAGATACAGGGTAGGGATTAACACCTGAGTGTGGAACAGATACAGGGTAGTGATTAACACCTGAGTGTGGACCAGATACAGGGTAGTGATTAACACCTGAGTGTGGACCAGATACAGGGTAGTGATTAACACCTGAGTGTAGTATGGATACAGGACCATCATTTACAGTCAGTCATAGAACAAAGGGTTATTGTGGAGGCAAGCATTACCTACCCTGGGGGCTGTTGACCCTCTTCAGTTTGATATTGCCGATCTCTGCCATCAGCTGTGTGGCCTTGACCTCGTCCCCATTTTGTGCTGGCGGGTTGGGTCGGGTAACATCTCTGTCCTTGGCACGGGTAGCTTTGGCATTGCTGGTGGGTATGGTGGATATTGGGGAGGGGGGGGGAACAGCAGACACACCCCTATTGGCTGTGCCATCAAGTGGGGGTGGGGGCAGTGGGGGTGAAGGAGATCTACCCCTTGTTCTATCTTGTACCACAGCTTGGTACCGATCTTGTGGGGACACGGGTGGGGGTGGCGCGGGAAAGTTCGGTGGGGGAGGAACAGGGTGCTCCATTTTCATACCCTGATCTGGAATCTTGGGGCCCACTTTCAGACTGTGGAGTTTGGTGACCATCTTGGGGAGCCAGGACTGCGAGGAGACTGGGGGTGGGGCTGGGGCTGGGCTGGGGCTGGGGCTGGGGGTGGCCACTGATGGCATTGTTCTTCAGCTGCTGGATCTGTGAGGACACATTCACAGGGACAGTGCTGGGGCAAGGGTTTGGCGGGGGCACAGGAGGGGGCACTGGGTTTACTCGTCCTGTGTGAGGTGGGTATGGTGAACTGTGTAAACCATAGGGAGGTGTAGGTGAACGTCCATCATACACAGTAGAGTTCGGAACACAGTGTACCTGTTGGTAGGCAGACTGACTGTCCACTGGAAAGGTGGGTAAATCTGATTCCTCCTGATCAAGATGAATCCATCGAGCATAAGGGTTTTCACTTGAGTGAGAGCTACCTGTTGAGCCTGTGCGAGCCCGCTGGCCATTCAAGTCATTACCATTACAGTGTCCTTGACCTTGGTGTTTTGGTGATGCGGGGAAGCTTACTCCATAAGAAAATGGTTTGTTTTCCTGATGCCTTGGAGATCCTTGCTGGATTCCATGAATAATTTTCGTTTTCACCCGTGGTGACGTTGGAGCAGACGTCTGCCACTGACTGCTGGTGTCGTCAGGTTCGTTGTAGATGCCGGACGAAGCAGAGGAAGACTGAAATAATAATAATATGCTTGAGTCAGCTGAGGAAAAGTCACTGCTAATATGAACACACTTCTACTTCCGCGTGTGACAAATCCTGGTGGTATGTGCAGGCAGACATCACCAGGCGTTTCATACAGGAAAAAGTTGACAAACTAACGCTGGACAAATCAACAGAGCTCAGTAGTTTTTTTGCTGCATTCAGACCGCTATCTATTGACTGACATGAAAGTTGCTTGGCAACACTTCCCTGACCTGGGGCTCCTTTCAAGAAGCAACCTTTACCTAAGTTAACCTTAACTCCTATTTGTTAACATTGCATTCAGGTTACCTTAGTGACTTACAAACACCTTAGTGACTTACGATCACCTTAGTGACTTATGATCACCTTAGTGCTTGGTGAAAGGAGGCCCTGTCTAATCTAAAGCAGCTTCAATGGAACAAAGTCACCAACATTTGATTTTACTGAGTGTTATAACCCAGGTCAGAGTTCAGGTTTATTTTCCAAACAGATCCCTGACTCCTGCTTACAGAACTTAGACTAAAATGACAACAATAACACAAATAAAAACAAAAATACCAAAAAAGTAACAAGAGGAGGTAACGCCAATATCACCTAGGACTGCTTGCTGAATGTACCATGTATGTAGGCCAGACACTAAGGGGGTTGTCAACAAGAGGAGGTAACGCCAATATCACCTGGGACTGCTTGCTGAATGTACCATGTATGTAGGCCAGACACTAAGGAGGTTGTCAATAAGAGGAGGTAACGCCAATATCACCTAGGACTGCTTGCTGAATGTACCATGTATGTAGGCCAGACACTAAGGGGGTTGTCAATAAGAGGAGGTAACGCCAATATCACCTGGGACTGCTTGCTGAATGAACCATGTATGTAGGCCAGACACTAAGGGGTTGTCAATAAGAGGAGGTAACGCCAATATCACCTGGGACTGCTTGCTGAATGAACCATGTATGTAGGCCAGACACTAAGGGGGTTGTCAATAAGAGGAGGTAACGCCAATATCACCTGGGACTGCTTGCTGAATGAACCATGTATGTAGGCCAGACACTAAGGAGGTTGTCAATAAGAGGAGGTAACGCCAATATCACCTGGGACTGCTTGCTGAATGTACCATGTATGTAGGCCAGACACTAAGGAGGTTGTCAATAAGAGGAGGTAACGCCAATATCACCTGGGACTGCTTGCTGAATGTACCATGTATGTAGGCCAGACACTAAGGGGGTTGTCAATAAGAGGAGGTAACGCCAATATCACCTGGGACTGCTTGCTGAATGAACCATGTATGTAGGCCAGACACTAAGGAGGTTGTCAACAAAGGAGGTAACGCCAATATCACCTGGGACTGCTTGCTGAATGTACCATGTATGTAGGCCAGACACTAAGGAGGTTGTCAATAAGAGGAGGTAACGCCAATATCACCTAGGACTGCTTGCTGAATGTACCATGTATGTAGGCCAGACACTAAGGGGTTGTCAATAAGAGGAGGCCTTCAATATCACCTGGGACTGCTTGCTGAATGTACCATGTATGTAGGCCAGACACTAAGGGGTTGTCAATAAGAGGAGGTAACGCCAATATCACCTGGGACTGCTTGCTGAATGTACCATGTATGTAGGCCAGACACTAAGGGGGTTGTCAATAAGAGGAGGTAACGCCAATATCACCTGGGACTGCTTGCTGAATGAACCATGTATGTAGGCCAGACACTAAGGGGTTGTCAATAAGAGGAGGTAACGCCAATATCACCTAGGACTGCTTGCTGAATGTACCATGTATGTAGGCCAGACACTAAGGGGGTTGTCAATAAGAGGAGGTAACGCCAATATCACCTGGGACTGCTTGCTGAATGTACCATGTATGTAGGCCAGACACTAAGGGGGTTGTCAATAAGAGGAGGTAACACCAATATCACCTGGGACTGCTTGCTGAATGTACCATGTATGTAGGCCAGACACTAAGGGGGTTGTCAATAAGAGGAGGTAACGCCAATATCACCTGGGACTGCTTGCTGAATGAACCATGGTAGTAAACCAGATCCTAAGGGAGTTGAAAACAAGACGAGGTGACAGAGACCAAGGATACTACATACCATCGGCCTATGAAGAATTAATCAAACTCCAGACTCTATCAAAGATCCCAATCTACCCGTTGTTACTACTTAAACCACCTTGTTTATTGGCTTCATCTACAGTGCTATTTGTTGTGTTTAGTTCCCTCCTGGCCTCTTCCAATTATGTACCACTTGTTATTCAATTAAATGCTGTTGCTAATGTTAATCTGCTGCCTGTCACAACATACCATGTATATATGCCTCTCACTATTTGGTTGTAGTCACTTTTAGATTGATAACGATGTAAGAATCTACATCAAAACATCACTTAATGCAATCAATAACAAGTTGTCATCCAAAAGTTGTATGTTTCATTTTTGTGGCCCAGGATCTGAGATTGCAGATGTACTTGTAGCCATAACATTTCTATGTACATGTACTATACTTGGGTTTGAACCTTCTGATCCAAGGTCAACACTTGCCCACATGACCTAAGGATGAGTGAGTGAGTTGGGTTTTACACCACTTTTAGCAATATTCCATCAATATCATGGTGGTGACACCAGAAATGGGCTTCACACATTGCATCCATGTGGGGAATAGAACCATGGTCTTCAGCGTGACAAGTAAACACTGTAACCCACATGACCAGAGAGGTACACCCTATCAGCAAGCTGCTGACAGTTTAGATACTTTAGTTTAGAAAGTATTGTTGTACCAATAAGGTGGCAGAAGGAGTGTCTAGTCAACATGATTGCCCTTTAAAGGAACAAAGTTCGAACAAGATGATTGCCCATTGCAATAACTGAATCTGACCGTCAGCAGAAACATGGTTTAACTTAATGGTTGCCCATCAAAAGAGACAAATATAAACTGGACTTGCACACACCAGATCATACTTGAAATGTGTACTTGCTACAAGACTCCTATTCCTGAATATGCCTCTCTCGTAAAAGGACCCTGTGAACCACTCCCTAGATCAATAATAACAGTGCAGATTCTAACAGACAGCATGCACAGCAGAGTTCGTTCACCTCATGGAAGAGGCACTACAGCAGAAATGTGGATACCGTGTAGGTGTCAGGCAACATACAAAATGATCAACACACAATGAGATCTAACAAGACTTCTACAAAACAAACATTCCACAAGATACGAAGTCCACCAGTGCTCCTCTTCACCAGACCTCCACTCCACAAGCCCTCCTCAAGACACACACTCCATAACACCTACTCTCCATGAGACTGTCCTCTGCAAGAACACCTTCATCTTGCTTCCTGCTTGTCCTTCTGCTGGACACAGTACACTACAAGAACACCTTCATCTTGCTTCCTGCTTGTCCTACTGCTGGACACAGTACACAACAAGAACACCTTCATCTTGCTTCTTGCTTGTTCTACTGCTGGACACAGTACATTACAAGAACACCTTTATCTTGCTTCCTGCTTGTCCTACTGCTGGACACAGTACACAACAAGAACACCTTCATCTTGCTTCCTGCTTGTCCTACTGCTGGACACAGTACATTACAAGAACACCTTCATCTTGCTTCCTGCTTGTCCTACTGCTGGACACAGTACACAACAAGAACACCTTCATCTTGCTTCCTGCTTGTCCTACTGCTGGACACAGTACACAACAAGAACACCTTCATCTTGCTTCCTGCTTGTCCTACTGCTGGACACAGTACACAGCAAGAACACCTTCATCTTGCTTCCTGCTTGTCCTACTGCTGGACACAGTACACAACAAGAACACCTTCATCTTGCTTCCAGCTTGTCCTACTGCTGGACACAGTACACTACAAGAACATCTTCATGTTGGGTTCCTGCTTGTCCTACTGCTGGACACAGTACACTACAAGAACACCTTCATGTTGGGTTCCTGATGTCAATATGTCTGTCTGTGTGTGCAGGTGTGTTCTTTATGTCAATGTGTGTGTGTGTCTGTGTGTGTGTGTGTGTGTGTGTGTGTGGCGTGTGTGTGCGTGCGTGCGTGTGCATGTGTAGGTGTTGTATATGTCAATATGCCTGTCTGTGTGTGTGCAGGTGTCTTCCTCATGTCAATATGTCTGTCTGTGTGTGTGCAGGTGTGATCTTTATGTCAATATGTCTGTCTGTGTGTGTGCAGGTGTGTTCTTTATATCAGTATGTCTGTCTGTGTGCAGGTGTGATCTTTATGTCAATATGTCTGTCTGTCTGTGTGCAGGTGTGTTCTTTATGTCAGTATGTCTGTCTGTGTGTGCAGGTGTGATCTTTATGTCAATATGTCTGTGTGTGTGTGTGTGTGTGTGTGTGTGTCTCTGTGTGTGTGTGTGTGTGTGTGTTCTTTATGTCAATATGCCTGTCTGTGTGTGCAGGTGTGATCTTTATGTAAATATGCCTGTCTGTGTGTGTGCAGGTGTGATCTTTATGTCAATATGTCTGTCTGTGTGTGTGCAGGTGTGATCTTTATGTCAATTTGCCTGTCTGTGTGTGTGCAGGTGTCTTCTTCATGTCAATATGTCTGTCTGTGTGTGTGCAGGTGTGATCTTTATGTCAATATGTCTGTCTGTGTGTGCAGGTGTGATCTTTATGTCAATATGTCTCTGTGTGTGTGTGTGTGTGTGTGTGTGTGTGTGTCTGTGTGTGTGTGTGTGTGTGTGTGTGTTCTTTATGTCAATATGCCTGTCTGTGTGTGCAGGTGTGATCTTTATGTAAATATGCCTGTCTGTGTGTGTGCAGGTGTGATCTTTATGTCAATATGTCTGTCTGTGTGTGTGCAGGTGTGATCTTTATGTCAATTTGCCTGTCTGTGTGTGTGCAGGTGTCTTCTTCATGTCAATATGTCTGTCTGTGTGTGTGCAGGTGTGATCTTTATGTCAATATGTCTGTCTGTGTGTGTGCAGGTGTGTTCTTTATATCAGTATGTCTGTCTGTGTGCAGGTGTGATCTTTATGTCAATATGTCTGTCTGTCTGTGTGCAGGTGTGTTCTTTATGTCAGTATGCCTGTCTGTGTGTGCAGGTGTGATCTTTATGTCAATATGTCTGTCTGTGTGTGTGTGTTCTTTATGTCAATATGCCTGTCTGTGTGTGCAGGTGTGCTCTTTATGTCAATATGCCTGTCTGTGTGTGCAGGTGTGATCTTTATGTAAATATGCCTGTCTGTGTGTGTGCAGGTGTGATCTTTATGTCAATTTGCCTGTCTGTGTGTGTGCAGGTGTGATCTTTATGTCAATATGTCTGTCTGTCTGTGTGCAGGTGTGTTCTTTATGTCAGTATGCCTGTCTGTGTGTGCAGGTGTGATCTTTATGTCAATATGTCTGTCTGTGTGTGTGTGTTCTTTATGTCAATATGCCTGTCTGTGTGTGCAGGTGTGCTCTTTATGTCAATATGCCTGTCTGTGTGTGCAGGTGTGATCTTTATGTAAATATGCCTGTCTGTGTGTGTGCAGGTGTCTTCTTTATATCAGTATGTCTGTCTGTGTGTGTGCAGGTGTGATCTTTATGTCAATATGACTGTCTGTGTGTGTGCAGGTGTGTTCTTTATATCAGTATGTCTGTCTGTGTGCAGGTGTGATCTTTATGTCAATATGTCTGTCTGTCTGTGTGCAGGTGTGTTCTTTATGTCAGTATGCCTGTCTGTGTGTGCAGGTGTGATCTTTATGTCAATATGTCTGTCTGTCTGTGTGTGTTCTTTATGTCAATATGCCTGTCTGTGTGTGCAGGTGTGCTCTTTATGTAAATATGCCTGTCTGTGTGTGTGCAGGTGTGATCTTTATGTCAATATGTCTGCCTGTGTGTTTCTTTTGTAACTTACCCGAGGGGAGAAGGTGGACAGTCTAGTTTCCGGTGCACGTTCTGGAACATTGGGGGATGACGTTTGTCCACCTGGAAATAAAGATCAGATTAGTATCTTATCATCACCTTAGCAACAAACCCAACTACAAGATGTAAGTGTTTAGGTCCGAGTCTTACTACAAGGTGCTGGTGTTTAGACCAGTTTCACTACAAGGTGCTGGTGTTTAGACCAGTTTCACTACAAGGTGCTGGTGTTTAGACCAGTTTCACTACAAGGTGCTGGTGTTTAGACCAGTTTCACTACAAGGTGCTGGTGTTTAGACCAGTTTCACAACAAGGTGCTGGTGTTTAGACCAGTCTCACTACACGGTGCTGGTGTTTAGACCCAGTCTCACTACAAGGTGCTGGTGTTTAGACCAGTTTCACTACAAGGTGCTGGTGTTTAGACCAGTCTCACTACAAGGTGCTGGTGTTTAGACCAGTTTCACTACAAGGTGCTGGTGTTTAGACCAGTCTCACTACAAGGTGCTGGTGTTTAGACCAGTCTCACTACAAGGTGCTGGTGTTTAGACCAGTCTCACTACAAGGTGCTGGTGTTTAGACCAGTCTCACTACAAGGTGCTGGTGTTTAGACCAGTTTCACTACAAGGTGCTGGTGTTTAGACCAGTCTCACTACAAGGTGCTGGTGTTTAGACCCAGTCTCACTACAAGGTGCTGGTGTTTAGACCCAGTCTCACTACAAGGTGCTGGTGTTTAGACCCAGTCTCACTACAAGGTGCTGGTGTTTAGACCCAGTCTCACTACAAGGTGCTGGTGTTTAGACCCAGTCTCACTACAAGGTGCTGGTGTTTAGACCCAGTCTCACTACAAGGTGCTGGTGTTTAGACCCAGTCTCACTAGTCCCAGCTGGTGTTTAGACCCAGTCTCACTAAGGTGCTGGTGTTAGGTCCCAGTCTCACTACAAGGTGCTGGTGTTTAGAGCCAGTCTCACTACAAGGTGCTGGTGTTTAGTCCCAGTCTCACTACAAGGTGCTGGTGTTTAGGTGCTGGTGAGACCAGTTTCACTACAAGGTGCTGGTGTTTAGACCAGTCTCACTACAAGGTGCTGGTGTTTAGACCAGTTTCACTACAAGGTGCTGGTGTTTAGACCAGTCTCACTACAAGGTGCTGGTGTTTAGACCCAGTCTCACTACAAGGTGCTGGTGTTTAGACCCAGTCTCACTACAAGGTGCTGGTGTTTAGACCCAGTCTCACTACAAGGTGCTGGTGTTTAGACCAGTCTCACTACAAGGTGCTGGTGTTTAGACCAGTCTCACTACAAGGTGCTGGTGTTTAGACCAGTCTCACTACAAGGTGCTGGTGTTTAGACCAGTCTCACTACAAGGTGCTGGTGTTTAGACCCAGTCTCACTACACGGTGCTGGTGTTTAGACCCAGTCTCACTACAAGGTGCTGGTGTTTAGACCAGTCTCACTACAAGGTGTTGGTGTTTAGACCAGTTTCACTACAAGGTGCTGGTGTTTAGACCCAGTCTCACTACAAGGTGCTGGTGTTTAGACCAGTTTCACTACAAGGTGCTGGTGTTTAGACCAGTTTCACTACAAGGTGCTGGTGTTTAGACCAGTTTCACTACAAGATGTTGGTATTTAGAACCCAGTTTTAATCCATCCGCTTATGATGCACTCATCCACCAAGCCCAATCTACTGTATATACTCTGCTGTATAAACATCTCTTTATTCTTGGTACATCATTGGCTTCCCCGCCTGTCCTTTGTCTACTCTCTGGCATCATCAGCTTACTGCCAAGCCAATTATGTTAATTACGTTGTTTTCTTTGTTACATTGTTATATTCAGTATATATATATACTTCTTCATGTTCCATTCCTGCTTGACAACGGTACAAGAATCTGTATCGAAACGTCACACTCACGTTTAAAAAGAAGTTGTTATCCATAAAGTTTGTTCTATATTGTAACACAATATCAGTGTAAAGCTTCTGCAGCCACTAGATGATGAGTGATACAGTTTAGCAACACACACTGACACATCTATATCACCTATAGAAGTCAAACTATGAACATAAGAACTCCTCAAGTAAGAGGAAGTCTCAGATTTTCTTATTAAAAGTAAAAGTCTAAGAACTCAAAGAGGAACAGCCCAAGAACTTCTCAAGAGAAGCTTAAAAACACCTCAAGGAAAGGACCACCAAGAAGTCCTCAAGGAAAGGACCACCAAGAAGTCCTCAAGGAAGGGACACCTAGAAGTCCTCAAGGAAGGGACACCTAGAAGTCCTCAAGGAAGGGACACCTAGAAGTCCTCAAGGAAGGGACACCTAGAAGTCCTCAAGGAAGGGACCACCTAGAAGTCCTCAAGGAAAGGACCACCAAGAAGTCCTCAAGGAAAGGACCACCAAGAAGTCCTCAAGAAAAGGACCACCAAGAAGTCCTCAAGGAAGGGACACCTAGGAGTCCTCAAGGAAGGGACCACCAAGAAGTCTTCAAGAAAAGGAACCACCTAAAAACTTATCATGAAAGGGACCACAAAGAAGTCCTCAAGAAAGGGACCACCTAGAAGTCCTCCCGACCAAGACAGCCAGACAGACATAAAGTCTCCTCTTATGGAGTTGCAGTGAACAATGTGAGGAGATAAAGGTCGACAGTCACTAACTCCCCTCACTGAAGCTACAACACATCAGATTGCTGATCCCCATTTGATAATAATTAGGTCATTACAGTCCCAAACCCATCAGATTATCATATAATAACCGGACATTCGGCCCTGGGTCAACCAATCAATGCCCCTCACACCGGAAACATGATGCACAGCTTGCTGGTTTACACACTCACTAATGTAGTGTTAATGTCGTGGATCCCTCAAAGCAGGTATATGTCTACACTAGAACAAGGCTGTATTCAGGTAGTGGATCAATCACAGCAGGTATCTGTCTACACTAGAACAAGGCTGTATTCAGGTAGTGGATCCATCACAGCAGTGGATCCATCACAGCATGTATCTGTCTACACTAGAACAAGGCTGTATTCAGGTAGTGGATCCATCACAGCAGGTATCTGTCTACACTAGAACAAGGCTGTATTCAGGTAGTGGATCCATCACAGCAGGTATCTGTCTACACTAGAACAAGGCTGTATTCAGGTAGTGGATCCATCACAGCAGGTATCTGTCTACACTAGAACTAGGCTGTATTCCATCAATGGATACATCACAGCAGGTATCTGTCTACACTAGAACAAGGCTGTATTCAGGTAGTGGATCACAAAGGTATCTGTCACAACATCTGTCTACAATAGAACTAGGCTGTATTCAGGTAGTGGATCCATCACAGAACAGGTATCTGGTCTCACAGCAGGTAGAACTAGAACTAGGCTGTATTCAGGTAGTGGATCCATCACAGCAGGTATCTGTCTACACTAGAACTAGGCTGTATTCAGGTAGTGGATCCATCACAGCAGGTATCTGTCTACACTAGAACTAGGCTGTATTCAGGTAGTGGATCCATCACAGCAGGTATCTGTCTACACTAGAACTAGGCTGTATTCAGGTAGTGGATCCATCACAGCAGGTATATGTCTACACTAGAACTAGGCTGTATTCCATCAATGGATACATCATAACAGGTATCTGTCTACACTAGAACAAGGCTGTATTCAGGTAGTGGATCCATCACAACAGGTATCTGTCTACACTAGAACAAGGCTGTATTCAGGTAGTGGATCCATCACAGCAGGTATATGTCTACACTAGAACAAGGCTGTACTCCATCAATGGATACATCACAGCAGGTATATGTCTACACTAGAACAAGGCTGTATTCCATCAATGGATACATCACAGCAGGTATATGTCTACACTAGAACAAGGTAGTATTCCATCAATGGATACATCACAGCAGGTATATGTCTACACTAGAACAAGGCTGTGGTATATGTCTACACTAGAACAAGGCTGTGGTATATGTCTACACTAGAACAAGGCTGTATTCCATCAATGGATACATCACAGCAGGTATATGTCTACACTAGAACAAGGCCGTACTCCATCAATGGATACATCACAGCAGGTATATGTCTACACTAGAACAAGGCTGTGGTATATGTCTACACTAGAACAAGGCCGTACTCCATCAATGGATACATCACAGCAGGTATATGTCTACACTAGAACAAGGCTGTACTCCATCAATGGATACATCACAGCAGGTATATGTCTACACTAGAACAAGGCTGTACTCCATCAATGGATACATCACAGCAGGTATATGTCTACACTAGAACAAGGCTGTGGTATATGTCTACACACTAGAACAATGTACTCCATCAATGGATACATCACAGCAGGTATATGTCTACACTAGAACAAGGCCGTACTCCATCAATGGATACATCACAGCAGGTATATGTCTACACTAGAACAAGGCTGTGGTATATGTCTACACTAGAACAAGGTCGTACTCCATCAATGGATACATCACAGCAGGTATATGTCTACACTAGAACAAGGCTGTACTCCATCAATGGATACATCACAGCAGGTATATGTCTACACTAGAACAAGGCCGTACTCCATCAATGGATACATCACAGCAGGTATATGTCTACACTAGAACAAGGCTGTGGTATATGTCTACACTAGAACAAGGCCGTACTCCATCAATGGATACATCACAGCAGGTATATGTCTACACTAGAACAAGGCTGTACTCCATCAATGGATACATCACAGCAGGTATATGTCTACACTAGAACAAGGCTGTATTCCATCAATGGATACATCACAGCAGGTATATGTCTACACTAGAACAAGGCTGTGGTATATGTCTACACTAGAACAAGGCTGTGGTATATGTCTACACTAGAACAAGGCTGTGGTATATGTCTACACTAGAACAAGGCCGTACTCCATCAATGGATACATCACAGCAGGTATATGTCTACACTAGAACAAGGCCTGTACTCCATCAATGGATACATCACAGCAGGTATATGTCTACACTAGAACAAGGCTGTACTCCATCAATGGATACATCACAGCAGGTATATGTCTACACTAGAACAAGGCCGTACTCCATCAA